CGTTTATAGAATGCTAAGTGTTGCTAAGTGTTTATAGAATGCTAAATGTTTTTTATATTCGCTATACTATTTGTATTTGGGGTGCAAATGGAAAAAGATATCTGGATTTGCTACGGATATTTTCACAGGTAAAAATTGTTGCTGTTTAAAGTTGTAGAAGAGGTTCAAAATTTCGGGTTAATTTTTTTGCTATTCCTGCATGATCGTTCATAAAGTTTATACGAACAGCTAAAGCGCAAAAATACTAACTCGTTATCTGGAAAATATCTAAAAGTTTAATTTAATTTTTCTTTGTTTTAAAGCTGATGATGGCAACAATTTATAAAGCAATTTAAAATGAAATTTTAAGACTTTTATTTTGGAAGAAAGGTAAGACGTTATTTTTATATATTTAAAATCGCTAATTTTAAGATTTCAATAATACAATGAATAGGATGTTACAAGCTTTATTATTATGATCTAATCTTATCACTTGCATTATGCGAGCTGTTTTGGTATTGCTTTTAAGACATCTTTATTTATTTATTTATAGTTTATTTCCAGCGTTAGCAGTGACATCGGCATCTTGGTACAGAAAGGCGAAGAAAAAAATAGCAAATCATTGAACAGTGAAAAATTTTTAATTCACTCCGTGTTCTTGACGACTTAAAATCAATAAAAAGCAGTCAAAAATTTTATTTCTCTCCGCGTTTCTGATGAATTAATACCAATATTAAGACATCAAAGTAAATTATTCTAGATAAATCATTGGAGATTGAAAACAAGAGTTGAAGGACCTAGGTATATTGCCTGATCATTTTAATTTAAGGCATATATAAATAACCTTGGTCTATACTCTGCTTTCACACATTCCAAAGTTATGGGGGGGAGGCTACAGCAAGGATTCTCAACCAGAGGAAAATTCCTCTCCGGGGGGGATTTCGCAGTTTTAAGAAGGGGAATGCAGTCAGCCTGTTGTTTACCTGTTAAGTATTTAGGTTTAGTTTAAAAGTATAAAAAGCTGCTTTCGATCAAGTTTTGGTATTCATCAACATTTTCTATACTTTTCTCATTTAATTTATCAAACACATTAACAATAATCTAAATTAAAGTAAATGCATATGCATGTTCCGTATTTTGGAAAGGAACGGCGAAATGACGGTCTAGTAACGGCGAAAGTGTGCATGGAAAACAAAAAGGGTTGAGAACCACTGGTTTAGGCTATATGTGATTTAAGTTGAGACAAAATCTTACGTGCCTTAATTTTACGTATTTCAAAAATTTATAATTGGGACTGAAAATGATTTGAACCAGAATTTTAATTCGGTTATCCCAAATTTTCTCAGGGGATGGTAAAATGGTTCGAGGCAAATTCTTACCTGTAACTCTACAATTTAAAAGCTGGAATTACAATACAATCTTTATTTCTTGTTGTTGTTGAATCTATATATCATTTAGCCGCTTAACTGAGATAGTGGTTAGCGACGCTGACTGCTGTACGGAAGGACCCAGGGTCGAATCCCGGAGAAAGCCTGGTTGTTCGTAAATGTATAGTGTCTTTGCGGCAAGAGGGCATTCTGAATACATGATAAGCCAAACGAGGAATAGGAGATCCTCCAGCCCCCCCCCGGGCTGCTCTCCATCTCAGAAAAATCACAAAATGTTTGAAAACAGCACATCTTCACGGTTTCCAATAGACAGTCTCGCGCGCTGGAGAGAAAAATGTTGTTTCCCCACAGTTTTACTCCACACAGTTTTGCCAAATTTTTTTGAAACAGTTTTTGAAATTGTCGAATAAATATTTTTAATCAAAAATTTCGTTTTAAATTTACAAAGCATTAAATAGAAAACAAATTCAAAATTAAAAATTCGAGCTTCCAAGTGCCCGTGTTCAGATGGAGGACTTTGTTATTCAAAATCGGATGTCTCGAGATAGCGCTGTTTTTTCACAATACGAGAAACATGCACATATTCATGTAGATTCTTCATTTATTCAATATCTTTTTCTTAAATATGATATAGGGCCATAATATTTGGTGGCAGCAATTTGAAAAGTGATACAGCCGTTTATAGTGATTCGACGCAAAATGCCATTTCGACACTAATAGCCTTTCTGTGATAATGCCCATTTGGGCTAAAAAAGGCACTTGTATTGAGCAAAAGTTTTACTGGCAGAAAGTAAGAAATAAATAAATTTAAAATCTGTAATAATTTCGTTTATACTTAAGTCAACGTGATGCTGTGATGTCAGCTAAGAAGATGAATAGAGGGTGCTAGCTGTAGGCTCCGAAAATTTAATGTTTCTAAAAGGGAGGCCTAAAGAGAGGTCAGAAAAGGGTAAGGCTCATGGGAGCCGTTAGTGGAAACTAGATTACCCAATAATAATGAATGTACATATTTTCAGTTATTAGCAGCGTAAATTTAGTGATCCACTGTGTAGATTTTGTATGTGTAATAAGCATTTAAAAATAGGAAGAGGAGTGGATAATTTCTTTGACGAGGTAAGTAAAAGACTGAGTGAAATTATAGATGCAGTTATATAGTCACTCTGAGAATTGTGAAATGAATTAACTATCTGAATATTTATATAATCAATATTTATAACTGTATACTCATGACCTACATTAAACTATGATTCTTTCTAGCTAGCTGGCAATTATCACTCTTGCCTCTAGATGGAGCTAATATCACCATACAACTCATTTCTATGGAGAACTTTACAGAAGTTAAATGACTTGTCGCTGCAAAGTACTCAAAGAGTTACTTGCTCTCAGGGCAATAACGTTTCAATATGAATATGCTGAACTTAAAATACCATTTGGGAATGGAACAGGATTCATATGGACAATCTCACGCTTGGGAAATGGCTTAAGACACTTTATTCCCTTAACCAGTTACCACTTAATCTTTTATATTTTAAAAAATCATGCTTTACAGCTATCTCTCAAAATGACTTAGCAACCCCCGACATAGTAACACTCCTTTAATGTATGAAGCTCCTGTATATGAGGCAGTCGTGCTTGCAAATCTCTATTTCTTTACAAAGCGTCGTTAGCAATACATGGCTCTCTTATACACTAGTTGTCTTTATATACAGACCTATATATTATTATTATATTATTATTATATATTATATATATATATATATATATATTTTTTTTTTTTTTTTTTTTTTTTTTTTTTTTAATAATGGAGTAAAAATGATCCGGAAACGGTTTAGTACTAGTTCCCCAATGTAAACTTTACTGTCCTCGGCTCCCAGATATTATATAAAAAATACAGGTATTCTGTTTCGGTAACAATTTTTACATCCTTGGATGAAGTAAAGGAAGTATTGTAATCCCGAAAACTTTCGCGTGTCATATTTCAACAAAATTATCCATTTTGACAGCTATGAAGTACAATTTAACGAAGTTTTTGCGTTACATTTATAGGTAAGAACAGAATAAAATACTCTTTTTCCCAAAATGGGTCGCAAATAGGATTTAAAATGGATTTAGAAAAGATTTCTTTCGTGACTTATGTAAATAAATGCGTACGTATACGTATGTATGCTCACGTACTGAGCTCGGTTTTTCTTATTCTTATATGTTGGTAAATTGTGCATTTTTTGCTTTTAAAAATGATTGAATTATGTTGTTTTTATCTTATGGTTAAAGCTTTTATGCCTTTAGTTAATCTGAATGCAATAGTTGTAGAATTATCAACAATTTAAAAGTTGTTTAAGTGAGGCTAAGCGTAATTTTTTATCATAAGTGCCATATTTGTTTACATTTGAAACTTAGCAGAATAGTGAGTTAAGTCAGCTTCTGCACATTCAGTATCTTTTTGCCGTGTGGGACCAAAAGCAAACGTTGAGTTTTGTTCACCAAAAAGTCTGCCTTCTTACCTGCTGGTCGACTTGCTTGTTTTTGCATATAAACTATAATTTCAATTGTAAAAAAAAAAAAAAATGAATTGTTTTAACTGTGTTTGGTGTTTTATATTTTTCAATTTTTAATAAAGATATTGAAGTTTTATGCATTTTTGCCTTGCCGCGAACTGAGAACTCAATTAATTGAATGAGAACTATATTTCTAATAAAATTCGAGTAAATAACTTTAAATGAAATGCAGCAAAAAAATGACTATAATTTAATATTCCGTGCAAGGAAGCCACGTGGTGTACAGATCAGATTTTTTCTCATTTGGAGACTTTTTGATGCAAATTTCTAAAACAGATTTTCTAAAGCTTTTATGTGATATATGATACTTTGTTTTGAAAGACCAAACAATTGTAGCATGTGCACAATTAAACCTTCTCATTGCAAATATTATGTGGTTGTATATTCTCAGTAAGAAATCTTATTACGTTTACCATATTTAACTATATGTTGGAACATTATATATATTTTATAACCATTTGTATCATATCAGCTGTTCGCGCATATAATTCATTACTGTATTATAATTAATTGATACGTTCCTATGATTCACTGAACACTAAAAGGTAAATTGCTTTTGAAGTTTTATTAATGAATGATATGCAAAAGATTTATTCATTCCAAGAAAACTTGAATTATTTTTTCTTCATTTCACATATAAAAAGAGAGAAGTCAATTTTACTCATGGAAATCTTACATTCTAGAATATAAGTAGTTGGCTGCTCTTGTGTAATAGAAAATAAAAATTTGGATTTTTTTAATTGTTCTAATATAAATTTTAAAACTTTTTACTTTCATTAGCTAGTAAATATTTCTGAACGATTTACGAAATCTATAACAGAAGGTAGTTTAACTTTTTGGGAAAATTTAACTCAGAAGCAAGGCCTATTATCTAGTTAATTTAATATAAAAATCAATTAAGAGAGTCTCATGAGAAGAAATGACACTATGTGTGACCAGCAGAATCAAAACAAAGTTACTATTAACTGATAGTCTTAAATACGTTTTTGTCTCAAGATATTGAGGCGTGGTTTGGGTCATATAAAATGAATTCAGGTGAACCTTGGTAAACGTATCTTAGATGTTCAATAAAGAAATATACTCGTATATACTGTGTTTATTTCACTACATAACGAAGACAAAAACTTGACAAAACAGTTGAAGAATATTAGGATAATAAACAATTTATCTTCAAATCACAAACAATTGACTGTCCATTCTCAAAATACAATACAGCTAAGACAGAGATTCACAGTTCATTTTTATCACACTAAAATCTGTTCCAGCTCTTGCTGTTCTTGCACCACAGGCCTTGTCAAAACGGACCTTAACAAGCCAGGATCTCGTACATCATAAGGATACTGAGATAAAAATGATACTCGTGGTGCAAAGCTCAATCCTCCTATATCTGATGAAATGCTCTCTTGAACAACTCTGTCGGCTATGCTTTCTTGAGCAATGCCAGAAAAGCTTCCAGAAGAAATTCCAACAGGAGCTTGAGATACCTCTGTTATTTTAGTGACTGTTCCTCCAGCTCCTGAAAAGGGGCTTTGAGCTATAACATCGTCGTCCACACTTAACTGAGACTGTCCACTTCCAATAGGATCTACAACGCTCTGGACAGTTTGACTAAAAGGTTGCAACAGCGAAGGTCCTGATGACAGTATTGCAGAATCCTCAAGCGCTCCTTGAGACAAAGATGCTTCGATGGGATCTTGAGCAATTTCCTGAGATAGCTGGCTTATCGAGCTTAGTGAAGAAATTGGAGACAGAACTTCTTCCTGCTGAACGATAGGTGAAGGATCTTGTACACTTTTTGTGACAGTCGTGAGAAGCTGTGCATCTCCAGCTGGGCCTACAATTTCTTCTTGGGTAACAACTTTTGATACGGGAGCCCTACCAACAGCAGAAAATGCACCTCCTACAACTGGACCTCCTATCTTTGATGGGCCTGCGTTCTCAGTTACAGTTGTAACAACAGCCCTCTCTCCGGCAGGTCCAATAACTTCTTCTTCAGTCACTGTCTTTGATGAGGCTGACTGTGCTACACCTGCGAAGCCGAATGGACTTGCAATTGCTGGTCCTCCAATTTTTGACGGGCCAGACTGTTTAGTGACAGTCGTAACAACTTGTGCATCTCCAGCAGGGCCTATAACTTCCTCTTGTGTAACTACCTGAGTTGGAGCTGAGTAGCCAACTGATGAAAAGCCTAAGGGACCACCTGTAGCTAAGCCACCAATTTTTGATGGACCAGCGGCAGTTTTAGTGACAGTCGTAAGAACCTGAGAGTCTCCAGCTGGGCCAACAACTTCCTCTTGGGTAACAACTTTAGATACTGGAGCTCTACCAACAGCAGCCAGACCTAATCCTCCACCAATAACTGGTCCTCCAATTTTTGATGGGCCAGCCTGTTTAGTAACGGTTGTAACAACAGCCCTATCTCCAGCAGGTCCGATAACTTCTTCCTGTGTCACTGTCTTTGATGATGCTGATCGTCCAACTCCTGCAAAACCAAATGGACTCGCGACTGCTGGTCCTCCAATTTTGGATGGGCCAGCCTGTTTAGTGACAGTTGTAACAACTGCCCTGTCTCCAGTTGGTCCGACAACTTCTTCTTGAGTCACTGTTTTAGATGTTGTTGATTGCCCTACACCTGCAAATCCGAGTGGGCTTGCGACCACGGGCCCTCCAATCTTTGACGGTCCAGCTTGCTTGGTGACAGTTGTAACAACAGCCCTATCTCCAGCAGATCCGACAACTTCTTCCTGCGTCACTGTCTTTGATGATGCTGATTGTCCAACTCCTGCAAAACCAAATGGACTCGAGACTGCTGGTCCTCCAATTTTGGATGGGCCAGCCTGTTTAGTGACAGTTGTAACAACTGCCCTGTCTCCAGCTGGTCCGACAACTTCTTCTTGAGTCACTGTTTTAGATGTTGTTGATTGTCCTACACCTGCAAATCCGAGTGGGCTTGCGACCACGGGCCCTCCAATCTTTGATGGTCCAGCTTGCTTGGTGACAGTTGTAACAACAGCCCTATCTCCAGCAGGTCCGACAACTTCTTCCTGCGTCACTGTCTTTGATGATGCTGATCGTCCAACTCCTGCAAAACCAAATGGACTCGAGACTGCTGGTCCTCCAATCTTTGATGGTCCAGCTTGCTTGGTGACAGTTGTAACAACTGCTCTATCACCAGCTGGTCCAACAACTTCTTCTTGAGTCACTGTCTTTGATGATGTTGATTGTCCCACACCTGCAAATCCGAGAGGACTTGCTATTACTGGCCCACCAATCTTGGATGGACCAGCCTGTTTGGTAACAGTTGTAACAACTTGTGCGTCTCCAGCAGGACCTATGACTTCTTCCTGGGTAACAACGTTGGATACTGGAGCTCTACCAACTGCGGTAAGACCTAATCCACCAAGAACTGGACCTCCAATTTTTGAAGGACCAGAGTTTTCAGCTACCGTTGTAATAACCTGTCTTCCACCAGCAGGTCCAATAACTTCTTCTTGAGTAACGACTTTTGATGGTGCTGCTTGACCTACTGTTTTAAGTCCAAAAGGGTTAGCGATGGCAGGACGTCCTATTTTAGACGCAGTGAGAAGTGCAGGTGATGGCTCTGTTTTCGTTACAGTTGTGCGTATCTGAGGATCTCCAGCAAGGCCAATTACTTGTTCTTGTGTTACTACTTTAGTTGGAGCAGACCTTCCCACTGCTGCAAAACCTAATGGAGCGGCATTTTGAGTAATGGTTGTTTTCCGTACAGGGGCTGGAGCTGCAACTTGAGGACCTTGCAAAGCGAGATCACCTAAAGTGAACTGAATGTTACCAGGTCCACTTAAGCCTCCTGCACTCAGGAGGGGTGCTGCTTTTCTAAGCGTAGATTTAGTTCTAAAAACTGGAGCTGGTGCTGGTGCTACAAGAGTGGGACCTGCATCAATAAAGCTCTGAACTGGTACCCTTGCCTGACTTAACCCACCTAGAGAAGCAAACCTTTGGGTACTAATAGGAAGCTGAGCATATCCGTATCTGGGATCACCTACTCTGCTACCACCAATAATGTCAATTCCAGGAAATCGGCTGCCGCCATCAACGTACACCATTTGCGGTATTCTTCGTCCAAATATCTGCCTTCCACCAAAACCTGCATCAGTACGAACTTGAGATAATACTTGTGGTCTTGCTTCAGCAATGACTGGCCTTTGAGCTACTACGGGTCCTCCAATCAGTTGGGAATCACCTAACGTAAATTGTATACTTCCTGGCCCTAGTGGTCCGCGCACGGAAGAACCTCCAAAACCTTCTTCAACGACAGATACTCTTTGCTGGCCTATTGGCCCTGCAACTGGAGCAACAACAGCAGGTGCTTGTCTTGTAATTGTAGTAACCCGCCGTGGTGCCACTCTAGGTCTTGATACTTGAGTAAGGAAAACTTCTCCTGGGCCTCTAGAGACAACGCGTCTCCGAATTGGGGCAGGAGCAAGAGGAGCTTGTACTACTTGTTTTTCAATAACTCTAGTTTGGGCAATGGGAGCCTGAACCACAGGAGCTTGTACTATTTGTTTTTCAACAACTCTAGCTTGAGTTATAGGAGCTTGTGAAATAGCTGCAACCGGTGAGATACCACCTCCACTTACGGTAAGCTGCCGTTGTCCAAAACCGCCAATAGGGGCTCCAAGACCTGAATTGTCATCAAGAACAAGCTGCACACTTTGCGCGGGGGATGTTCGTACGACTGGCCTTGTCTTGACTCTCCTTAAACCACCAATTCCTTGAGCTCCACTAAGGATTATTTGACCTCCGCTTAAACCTCCCGCAGATTTTGTCACTGTTGTAACCTGCCGTTGTCCAAATCCTTGACCTAAAGCAGCTGAAACGGGATCTTCAGACTTTGTAATAGTAGTTGTCACCTGACGTTGACCAAAACCATCTCCAAGACCACCAACAAGAGAAGGAGAAGTTTCAACAACCATTACTTTCTCCTGGCCAACAGGTTCAAGTGCAGGGCCCCTGATCTGAGCATCTCCGGCTGAGAAAGCTGAGGCTCCTGATAAAATATGCCTTTGTCCAAAAACATCATCACTAAGTCGGCGCTGGGTTAATAATTGAGCAGGATAGGAATAGTAATCAAGACCCATCAAACCAAAAGGTACAGGAGAAACTCCTGTTCGGTAGATAGCTCTCCTTGCACCGAATGGGCTAGTTTTTATTTGAGCATCTCCTGCTGAAAATTGGGCAATACTTGGTCCAGCTGCTACAATTCCACCTTTCCTCCCTGACGAGAATCCCACTGGTCGAAGTCCAGATAAATTGTCAGAAGACACTGTTTTTCTTCGAAGAACTCGCCTCTGGGTTAAAAGAGAATTGGGAAAGGAATAGTAATCGAGTCCCGAAAGACCAAATGGAACTTGGGATAGCCCACTACGATATAGACGGCGTTGTCCGAAAGGAACTTGAGCATCAGAAAGAGTAAACTGGGCAGAGTCTGCTCCAAAGCTAGATGACTTAATTCCACTGGGATCTCCGATGGACTGCACTTGCTCCACAACCACAGGATCCTGGGAAATAGGGTCTCGGAGAAGAGCAGTATGATGTAACGCACCACCTCTTCCTAGAGAACAAAGCAACATGAATCTTAATGGCACAGCTTGCATAACATAAAAAGAAAGACATAAATGTTTATTACAGTAATTCTATAGGAAGATATATTTAATTAAATCTCGTATTTATTTGATGCTTATACTTTTCAGCAATATTAAATGAAAAACACCATCTTATAAAATGATCATAACTGTGATCTTTGTGACTATATTAATATGGATAAAAGATATACTAAAAATGAAACTTTAATATGATCACTTTGACTAGTGTTCAACAGCACTGCTTTTGCATGTGGATATTAACAGATGAATACCTTAATTGCTGTCATTAGACAGCAGCACTATTAAAGTACTAAAAATTATGATCCTTTAATTTGATCTTCGGTTTAAGCGAAGAACTGGACATTTGCCTTTCAAAACATAATCGAATCCAATGTTCATTACACTAAGAAAAACTTTCTCAAGCAGATAAATCGTTCAGGATGTTATTGCGAGAGAATAATATTTTAAATACTTATCTCATTTCAGATACTTAATCACATAATAGATAGTAAACGTCTTTTTAAAAATTGAGAGATGCATCTTATTTCTTTGAACCTTCTTCGAATTTCAAGTTTATCTACTGCTTTAGTATGGAAATTAATTGCAAAAGGGGAGGAATAAAACTGTTCCAAGGACAGTAATTATTAATAACAGAAGACACTATTGATTAATAGAAACTATTAATTACCTGTAACATGGGAAAGTGTTTGGATTGTTTACAAAATACGTACAATGTTTACATATTAACAAACAACTGAAACAAACCAAGTGCTAAAAATAACTCAAGTGATTTGTTAATTGCAGTACCGATTGTCCTTCCTTACATTAGCATACATATTGATTTATCAGTATGGGAAGCAAGATGAAGAAAATGCATGTTGCAATGTGATAAACAAAAAACGAACAAAAAGGAATACAAAAAAGCAATAAAAAATGAACAAAAAACTGTATGAAATTTGTAATTTCATAATTCATGATTAGAAATTCTTTATTAACAGTGTAAATTGCTTATTATTCCAAGAAAATTTCTATCTTCATTTTGTGTTTAATCTGGATAATTTAGTTTTAATTAAAATGGTTTTATAAATATATTTTGGTTTGTTTAATATTTCATCTGCCTAGTAAAATAATATAAATGTGTAATTTCTGGTATTTAATTATTAAAATTTAGCACTTTTAAGTAGTCATATTCCTTAAAATAACTCACCAAAAAGAAACAAATAAAATGCTAAGTTATCTAAACTAGACTTTGCGAGACGTGCAAAGACTTTTTGTTATTAGAAAGCAATTAAACCATTAGCGTCGTGGGTAAAAACCCTCAAAGTTAAATGATGACTCTACTGAAAAAGAAAACAGCATTTAAGGCATCTTCTGCATAAAAGCAGTAGAAAGCATCTCCCGATAAAAGTACAAATATGTTTTGCATTAGCAAACTCATTTTTAATTGTTAATAACGATAGATGTTATATATTTGGATTATTAATTCTATAAATATCCAATCAATACATAATTTAGAACTAGGATTTCAACTATCATATCATATGAAACACCAAGCGACGTACAAATGATTAATATGTAGCGTAAAAATTCTGTCAGTACAAGATTGCTTATAATAAATCTTTTGACCGTGAATAGGAACTAAGAAAATAAAAAGTTGCTCTACGATGAGTTAAATAATAATAAATCTGTCAATTCCTCTAGATGCTTCATTAAGTATAAATAAATTTCAGGGATGATGAATATATAAATAAAAAAAAAGAGTTAGAAAGCTTTGTTACATCGATTCGTATATTTTTCCGACAACAGGATTTATCGCTAGCAAGTAAACAAAAGTATTTTCTATATATACAGCAGCAAATTTCCTAATAAAAATTAACTGCATCTCATATTTTCTTTAAAATTCCATCCAACATAAATACATCAATCATTAACTATTATTTTATGCATTAATTAATAGTCACAAGATTCATTACATCACATAGTAATGCAAATAGTCTATTTGAATAAATTAAAAGATAATTCAAATTCATTTGTTAATGGGGAAACGAAAACGAAAGTACCTCTCTATAACCAACGCAATGGATACATTCTGAAGTGTATCATAATTTAATTGCTTTAATAAAATGAATAATTTTTTTTAAATTTTTATAATACATTATAATTTACTATACTATCGCGTCTAGTTCTCTAAAGTATCCTTAAACAAATGAATCAGGCTCATAGAAGTGCAAATATGCACGCTCATCTAGGTTAAAAACAGTATTTAAGTGTCTTTAATGGTGCTTTGCTGAAAAAGTGCTGAAGATTAAGATTCCAGAAGAAAAGAAATAACTGAGTGTCTGAATTATTTCTCTTAATTTAAGCGGACTTTTTTATGTCTTTACATGTGAAGATAATATTGCTTTTCAATGTGTATTTATTTTACACATATCATTTTGCACATTATTCACGTTTTTATGCTTCGCATTTTATGCCGAGAACCTTAATCTGATAGATTTTTAAATCTGATAAAACTGCAGAATTTGAAGCCTAATTCCTTTTATGCTAATAAGTTTGTGCTACTTAAAATTTACTTTTATAAAAAATTAGCATTTTCTAGGTATAAAATTTTACATGGTACTATTTAAAAATTGGAAATTACAGGATGATAGTTACCTCAAATAAGTTAGATATTAAAGTAAGATTTATAAATTATACACATCAACTATTATATTTTAAAAATTTACTTCGAAGTTAGACAAAAAAGTAATTTTCTTTAGTACTTTTTTTTAAAACTTTCTGTATAACGTTTAGTGATTCACTCCAACTTCCTTAATAACATTGGAGATCAAAATTAATCTCCGTGTTGAAAGATAAAAGAAGTAATTACGAGTAATTTATTTAGACGTGTTGAAATGACTGATGAGAAATGTCATGAGCTTTGCGTGATGTTTTCTTTTATATTTTTCTTAAAATTGGCTAATTTATTATTTTCAAAAGGATATAATGTATCCCAAAGAAATGCTTATTTCTTAAATAGTAATAGGAGTTATTTAATGCATTAACGCACACTTACCTCCTTTTCCAACATGAAGGTGTGGCCCAGAAACCTCCTAAAATTGAAAAATTTTAAAAAAATTAAATTCTATTCCGATACAAAATGTTTAATGAAATGTGTAATTTAAATCGTCTTATTAATTTTTATAATAAAACATTTTATACATTAATTAATTATCATAGCGTTTTGGCAGCAATTAGTAATTTCTTTTCTCTTTAATCACATGCATATAGATATGAATAATTAATTACCTAGCCTTATATATATAAATGAATCAACTTTTGTAGTGCTGACACATCAACTTCGCACTCTTTATGTATAAAAATGCATCGTTTTTAAGTAAAATGAATTGAAGAAAATATGATGATTAAAATAATAAATTCATTAATAATTGCATTTCGTGACGATTTTGCATACTCATAAAATTTTTGTTCTCGTTCGTGATTGTTAATTGTAATCCTTACTTACTTAACCTTAGCCCTTTAAACAATTTGACTTATTTTTCATTATGTTTCTCATCAAGAGATGGCGTTAGCTGTTGTGTTTCTTATTAACATTCTTCTGTTTTGTAGCATCTTCTCGAATGTCCTGTAATTTCTCATTCGTATAGTTTGTGTGTTAAGCCTTTACAGCCAACCGAAGAATAAGGTACTTTGGATATCTTTGAAACTTGCCCTACTTTTGTTTACATGTACTGTGTCAGTCCTACTACAATGAAAGTCTTTTGCTCAATTAATTATTGTTCTTTCTCTTAAATAGTTATCTTTTTAAAACAATCATTTTAGAAGGATTAAGTCAATGAAGCAAAAATACGTCTAGTCAGAGCTAAAAATATTTATATGTATATTTGTATAAAACATAAAAAGAATCAAAAGAACTTTTACATATATATTGAAGTATATACATAAAAAAAGGGGTTGTCGTTTATTATTCATAAAATAGCTCATTTCTAGGACCTCGACTGTTTATATCCTCAATAGTCATCCCGTAAAAGAGTTTGGAAAAACAAATGCAAATGTGCAAAATATTATCCTCATAAACCTTACACAGCATAAATATTAATAATAAAAACAATCCTGATCTCTGTTAAAAATTATTAGGAAAATTGAGTGATTAATTAGCAATAATGGAAACTGACCTTGGAATAATGCAAATGAATCATTAGTATTCATATAAACATGCTATTATAAATAATGGATTTAGTTATATTTCTCGATATTTTCTTCAGGGTATAATTAAAAATGATAATAGAAAACTGGAAGTCTATGAAACAAAGTTATCTTCTAAGATTTTTGTTTCCTTTCTCTTAAATTCAGGCTAAGTACTTTCGTTAAACTATACACTTGTATTTAAAGATTAGTTATCTAAATCAGCAGCAAAAAGTATCGCCTTGGTGTATCAAAAAGTATCGCCTGTGACATTCTCTTAGATTATTTACACATCTTTCTCAATCACATTTGTACTATCCGTCTTAAATTTAAGAATTTACTGCTAAGGTTTAAGCAATTACTTCAAATTTAATTTCCTTTTTCACTCATTTTAGAAGATTTTTCTTTCTTAACTTAAGTATTAGCTTTAGATAAAAATTCCTCCTTTTTTCCTTTGAAATCATAAAGGTTATATAGATCGATTGAAATGCATTTTTACATAAAATAAAATAATAGCAAATTAGTATATATATCCCTGATAGTTTAATACGAGGTAAGCTGACTTAATTCAAGCTTTTCTGGATGAAAATACCACCATTAAATTTAGAAGAAAATTTAAAATTATTATTTATTTTTGAAATTAATTAACAAATTGATACAGGACCTTTTTATTCTCTAATTTAGTAAATTTAATAAATTATTATAATTTTATTTAATAAATTAAGATAAGGGCTTTCACTAATTACTTTAATTAATTATGGCTAACATGTGACTTAACTGAACTTTTATAATCTGTCATAAAATTTCAATTAATTTTTCTAAGAACGAAGGCACTAAATTTAATAAACTAATTATTAATTTAATAGATTAAAATAATGTTAATTAATAAATTAAGATAAAGTTTGCCACTATTGTTTTAACAAATTATGGTTGGTAACTTAACCAAAGTTTTTAATCTGTGGTAAAAAATCCAGTTAATTTATCTAAGAACGAAATATAAAATACAATACATAATGGTATGTGCAAATATAAAATGAAGACAATTGTGGAGCGAGTGCAAATGCTGGATTGAAAGCTAGAAGTCTCATTACAATGCTTTGCATGCGACAGTATGGTCTAAAGAGTTCAACCAATTAGCTGTTCTGATAATAGTACGTGCCATCAAGATGTCGTCGGAAACTTACAAGTTGTTATTGCGCAAACTTCTGTCGAAACGGTATCTGAACCGACTACGTGACTGGTGTACTGGAGAACTTCTTCATTACGCAGCGGAAGGAGTCTTTTTGATGAAAAAACAGAAAAACAAAACAGAACAAAACAAAAAAATTAGGTGATTCTTCGTTTCATCGACACACTTTGCGTTAACCTGACACTTTTTAATCCTTTCCATTTCTAACGCGCTCTTCCTGAAACTCTGCAAAAATAATTTAACTAATTACCGCTTTCGCATTTTCGTACAATAGAATTTTAGAATAGAATTTTTAATTTAAAGTAACGCAAATTCACTTTGTGCATTCTGATTTTTTTTTCATTTTTGTCTAGGTGAGATGAACCTGGAATTAAAAAATAAATAAATGAATATATAAAAGAGAAAGGCTTATGGAGAGACTACTATTCTTGCTTGCTGGTTACATTTTAAACGAATTTCAGTATTTTCTGTGGATAACGCCTAACTCAAGTTTATCTTGGATACGATGAAATGGAAATCTCAGCCGAGTGATTATTAAGAAGATTAAGAGAGATTTTACAAAGAATGCCAGAAAAAGTGTGAAGTAAACATCTAGTTGAAAACATTTCGGTAGAAATCTGACTGAAAGATATTCTATTGCAGAAATGGCATTTAGAAAGCTGGTGAAAAGGAATTTTAGAAGCAGTATGCACAATGCAGTCACCTAGAGCCTATTTAATTTAGTTCTCTAATGTTAGAAATGTCTAAGTTAGAAATGCTGAAAGAGGCAGTTGCAGAGACAATTCGCAACTGGAAGTCATTTTAAAGACATTGCCAGAAATATTGCTTAGAAGTGTAAGTCTTTATATCAATCCTGTTTGGTTATTTTTTACCTAGAGGCGTCTAGAACTAAAGAGAGGAGAACTAAAGTAAGTTTAAATCTATAAGTTATATATCATTATAGGAATTATTACTTTAGCTTTTGTTTTTAGAGGTTGCAGGTATGATCATGCCATTTCGAAAACTGTTAAAAGAATTACTTAATTTAATCTTCTAAACTGATCAGGTAAGAATTTAGAATTATCTATTTATTAATAAATTCATGGATTTTCCCAAATATACATAGAAAAAGCTGAAAATTTTAGAATTATATGCATCTATTGTTTTAAGAAACCTTTTTCTAAAAATTTTCAGTAGTTAGTGAAATTATTAAAGTTTATGTGTAAAAATTATTTTTATATTTAATTTCAAAAGTTCCAGAATTCTTTTTAAAAACATTTCGAGGGTATTAATGAATTTTTCTTATGGTATAAACAGCATAGAATTTTATGATTTTTTTAATCTGCCTGTGCTCTTGAAATTTCAAGAATTCATACCAGGTGATATGCTTTGAATATGGGAAAGTTTATATACTCCTTAAGATATTTATCATTAGGAAGTTTGTTATGGTTTAACAACATTATAGTACCTGAATAACAGCAGGTTCTTGTACTATTCTAGGTCCTCCTTTAATTCGTGCACCTTCCGTACTGGTGAGGACCAGCACGGTTAATAAACTTGCCACCTGAAAAAAAAGTGGAATTAAAATTTTTGTACAGAAAAAGCTATCAATGATACTTTTAAAGCCAAGATCGTAAGCAGTATTATGATATTTTTGAAAAATTTCAAGCCATTATAACAACAAATCACATGATATTTTAAAGTTAATGTATGTGATAAATATGTACATATGATATAAAAATAATAATTTATATGCTATACTAGTAAAAGGTAAAAAACTTGAATCAATATTAATAACTTGATGGGACTTACTTAGAATAAAAGGGAATTAATATTAACCAAATTAATGTTAATTATTTTTATACATTTCTATTAGAGCAATAGCTTACATAGAAAAAATATAACCCATTAATTAAGAAAATGGATTATTATGATTAAAATTATACTATCCTTCAATATTACCTCATAAATTAAGCGAACTAATTTTATGTACTTATTACTTGTTTAGTCGATTTTAAATATTTACTTCAGTTTTAATTTTAGGTGAATATTATAAAAGTAGAAAATCATCATGAATTAATCTTATAAGCAAACTTATTGTATTTAGATCAATTCCGCCTACATAAAGCTTTAAATCTTCAGTCTTCCTTTACTGACTTCTTAAAGTAAAGGATGAAATATTAATTATGACAAATAATTAAAAGCAATATTTGTTTCCATCTATTAAACTAATGAATAATTTTACTTCGATGAAATTTTAAAAGCTCATTAAACTCTGCTTTTCATTTAAAATTAACTAAGCATATAATCAAGCTCAAGCATAAGGATCAATCCTGCTGTAAATGAAGCACTTTCCATAAAGATCCTAAGACAGCAAAGGTTTTTCAACCAACATGAGAGATGCTGCTGCTGTATACTTACTAATATCATGCTCTGAGTGGGTTTAATGTTTTAGATCCTTCGGAGGTTGCTAGCCAGTGCTGACAAACGGCCATTCTTGGCTTTATATACCTCTCGAGAAAGGTTTTCTTTGCCTGAGGTTGATTTATGCTCATCTCTTATTTGACAGTCAAGGGTCACACGTCGACAGTAGTGTTCGGGAATAGGAGGTCGTCGCAGTGAGTGTATCGTCGATGAGGACTCATTGTCGCGTCAGGACACGTTCTAACGAAAGGAAGACCTGACGTAACTGTAAACACGTGCCTTCCCGTTATACAAATGCAATTTTGGAAGGAAAAGAAGTGCGGCATACGTATCCGTCGAGGAATGCATCGCGTTATCAGTGGGCTGGGGTACATTTTTTGTTTCTCGGAATTTAAAATTCAGAAAAGAAAATTGCTTCCTTTTTGGACAGCCTCGAAAAGTCTTCCCTAAAAGAAGCTTGCATAGAAGAATAAAACGACACTCTAATACCATTGTTCTGAAAATCTTCTCATACTAATTATAGATTTACAAAGACTCCAAATCATATTCAATTAAAATGTAGTCCGCACCTTTTAAATTTGTACTCAGGAATATTAATCCTTACACCGTTACGCAATTACACAATGTGGTCAAATACTTACCATTTACTTAGAAAGTCTACATTTAGTTAAATTTACGTTTCTGCAAAGGTTAATATGTGGAAAGGGAACCGTTAGAGAAAATAAAAAAACAGAAAACTGACATAGGTAACAATTTATTGAGCTATGAACAATTCCAAGTCATATGGGCTCTAAGTATAGTAAATTTACTTTGTCTTGGCTAAGCTTGATATCAGTTTAAATTATGAACTATACCTACTTTTTTAACACGCATTCCATTGAACATAATTATTCAATAATTGTAATACAGAGGTTTTTCGAGTATTTTTAGACGATTTTGCTTAGCTATTAAAAAATTGTCTGCTTGGAAATTTTTGTTTTAACTGCAGCTACATTTCCTAAAGTATAAATTACCGTCTGTTACTTAACAATTTTGATTTCATGCAAAATGGCTCTTTTAAAGAAGCATTGGATAGAAGGCTATGTTTCTGCTCTTTCTAGTTATTAAAAAACTACACAGTGTTATTAAAAAACACTCTAGATTTCGACATCTAAAGCTACTGCAGACAATATTGTCAACAAAACAGAAGAAAAAAGTCAAAGTTTGGCTTTAAGTGGAAAAATTATTCTAAATGCATATCCAAGAGAAAAACGGAATGTGTCGAATATTTCGAAGTTAAGATCTTTCGTGTTAAAAGAAAATTCGCCAAATCAAAGGACAAAAATCATTGAAATGATTAATGCTAAAAACATAAAGTGCATCGTCTTTCTCATATGGGCTCTAAGTAAATTTACTATACTTAGAGCCCATATGACTTGGAACTGTTCATAGCTCAACAAATTGTTACCTATGTCAGTTTTCTGTTATATTATTTTCTTTAACGGTTCCCTTTCCACATATTGCTGAACACAAAACGCGCTGCAGCGTTCTTTACGAGAAACATTTATCCGGATAAAAATGGAAGTTGTTCTCACAATAGATTAATCGTTGGTGTATTTGAATGACTGCAATCGAAAGACATCCATTTATTATCACCAAAGAGGAGAAAAAAATCTCGAAACGTGGTTCAAAGAATAATGTAAAGAAAGTTTTTAAATGGATTTATAATTGTTGCTAGTTTTTCATAGAACTGCAAATTAAAAATAAACATAAAAGAGAATTATTTTGTGGTCTACTCCATATGTTACCAGCAACATATTTTGCATCCAGGTTTCAAATACGAAACACCTTCTCTTTACCCACAGTGCTATCGATCAATACAACTGTATCAAGACAAGGCAAGCAGCCACTCCTCAAAATTCACTTTTAATTTCCTGGGAAAAATTGAACAAGAAACGCTTGCCAGTGATATACCGTTCACTCATATCCCTACTAAATATCTTGATGTATAAACCATGGATTTTTCCGCTTTATGATTTTTGAAAAGTGGATTGTCCAAACGTCGGCCTTCAACCCTACTTGGACTTTGGAAAGCTAATTAAGAGGAATGGAATAAAATAATGGATCTTCCGATTCTACAAAAGGCTTAATTATGGTGTACTAAAATAGTAAAGAATGAGGATTATTAATTAGAACATATACAAGATTAAAACTTTAGGTTAAATATTTCTGTAAGTACAATCAAATCGTCTAAAAATTATGCGAATAGCCTAGGTAGTCGCATTCGTTCCTTCAGTAGCTTGTAAAAAGCATTATTAACATGCTGACTTCAACCTAAATATATTTATTTACATTATCACCATAGGAAATTTTGATTAATTGACTTTTTTATGAAATAACAAGTATTAAAATGTGCAAATAAACACAAAACAAAGGAAAGAAAAGGATACAAAAAATGCTGTCACTAGTGATCATCACGTTGATTAGAAAATATTTACTTACTGCCTTAGGAATACCAGCGGTGATCTCAGAACAGAAACTGAAAAATGGAGTAATGTATAATGTCTTATTTTCCATTTTTTGTAAGCCGTTTTCTTTAAGAATCTATTCCGCACATGGTCGTTCTTTGTTACTGTGCTTATTCGATGCTTAGTTTAAATTCCATCAGTGTAATTCAGATAAAATAAAAGTCAGATGCATGTCCATACTAAATATTTTTAATAGTTATTTGCCAAAGTTTAATACCATCCATTACATTAATACAGAAAGTTCTAACATATGCGTAGTCTGTAAGGAGCATAAAACGTTTGTACCGTGTTATATTAAGTTTTATCGATGTTCATTGGTTATGCTCATGGCAGTCGACGTTAAAAAACATTCTTAAATAAATTTTAAAACGTTCATTGAGAAATCGATAAAAACTAATTTATTTTTGTAATTAAAGTAAAACTAAATGATAGCACACAGAATATCTCTATTGCAAATGAATCTATTTTTCTGTAATTCTTAGCAAACTTCTCTCGAATTAGAAAAAGAAGAAGATATGCTACATGTTACAAAAGAAATTTTAGTTGTTTATACTTCTTTATATAATGGAAATTTTAAATTCAGAATTTGATTGAAAACCCAGAATTAAATTAGTCAATTAAAATCCAAAATGCAGTGGAGATTTAAAATCCATGACGACAGTTATAAAAATCAAAAAACATTTTCATCCCAGATACCAACATAAATAGACGATTTCAATAACATCAATGATATATTCGTCGCCCAACCGAGATAGTGAATCTGATTGCCGTACCGAAAGGTCTGAGTTCTGACCGCGGAGAAGCCATGGAATTTTGTAAATGTATAATGTCTGTACAGCATAGGGGCTCTCTAAATAGGCAATGAGCCGAAAGTCCTCTCGAGAAGTTAGTGGTAGAGGAAGAGGGGCGAGAGACTCTCGAACCTGTCACCTCCCCCCTTCCCAGATGCTGTCCCTCAAGACTGGGGGCGGAATTGAGCTTAAGTCGGGCTGTCACCTATAATGGTGCTCAAAACTCATGCCAACGACAGGCGCATTTAACTCCGTGCCACGATGGGTGTCGTGGGCTTGTCCTGACCATTGTCAGGCAAGTGAGATGGGTAACAACATGTCTTCTGTAACCAAATCCATTAATCTCTAACATCTATGCTTTAGAAGAAATTTAACACATTCGCTTTTATTTAATTTTATGTCATGATGTTCATTGATTTAAAAAAATGCTTACTTCTAAAGCACTATTAAAAATTAATTTAAAACCGCCTATGATTTATGTGAGAAAATGCGCTATTTGTCAAAAGTTTAAATACGACATGCAAATACTTATACATCAAGGGCTTTTGCAGCTTTTATTCGGTGAAATTTATCGTTGCTATTGATAGCGATATTTATAAATGCCAAATATTGTGTCTAAAAATTATTTTCTTCTCGAAAAATATGTAAATTAAGTTTAGGGTGTAAACTGCTTCTCTACGTAATGAAAATACAGATAAGGTTGTAAGGATAATGTTAATTTTATTAACAGTTAAATTTGAATTAAACTTCCTTTCGTATCGCTTCTTATTTTCAGTTTACCACTTCAAGCCAGAACATAGTTTTAGAATCACGTCTGAATGCTAATGGGGAAGAGTGATATTTAACCGCGAAGTTCTGCAGCCTTAGTGAGAGAGATACCAGATATTCTGGCTGCTCGCGTCCTCCTTTTTAGGCTACTCTCTTGTAAGCTATTATTACGCTCGGCCATACTTTATTATACGGCCCTTGATAGCTTCGCAGTCAGTTAGCGTTAAGGGGACAACTTTGTTAGAATTTTGACAGCTTCAGCTATATCACTCTAGTTAAGATTAGTTTATTTTAATTCTTAGTCAAGCCTAAGTGTCGGCTTTATTGTGCAACTCCAAGACGGAGTATTGTTAAACTTTAATTAGAATAATAAAGGGTTATTTTACCCTTCTATCTTATTGTTTCCTGTCACAGGAACTCAAGCGATTATTCGCTTATCAGTTCTTTAGATTCTTTACTTCCAGCAGTAGCTTAGAATTACACAGTAGAGAATCCTACAATTGGCACCCGGTCAAGATCGTTAGGTCAATGTCGTTAGAGTCCGGGAAGTTTAACTAAAAATTTAACTGTTAATAAAATTAACATAATCCTTACAACTATTCATTTTATTTGCTAAAAAAGCAAGGTGTCTCCTTAAGAAAAAACAAAAAAACCCATTTAAATTAAACAGGAAGGTAGAAAAATCTCTTTCCGACTGGGGTAATGAGAAGAAATGGAAGAAATTCTTTGTAAAAACATTAGAAGCCAAATATTAAGTTAGCATACGAGCTGTATGATGTAAAGCCTCTGAAAAGGGAAAGGGAGAGAGAGAACAAGCATTTTCAAATATTCGAGAATAAATTAAAATAATTACTAGGACATACATGACAACTGATTAATATATTCAACTGGACAACATCAATTTTTTGTTCGGTACTTTATTTTACGCCATTCATTCCTTATTGCACCTCACTGTTGCGTAGCAATAGCGGTGCCAGTTGCTATAAA